ACCTGTAAGAGATGCAAACATGTTGATATTACTGAGTTTAATGTAAGAGTGAAGTAGGCTGGCAGAGAAAACCAATGCGTCACAGAAAACTCCAAGCCATTAAGATTTGGACATAGGGATGTTATAACATGAATTAGTATTCTTTGTTTTTATTTAACACACTTCTATAGACTATACCGCATTATAAAATATGCTGAACAGACTGGGTCTCTCTCTCCCTGAAAAAGCATGTGGTAGTCACTCCATGGGCTTTTAACCAAGCTTACACAGCTCATTGTGATCCTCTTTCAGGGAGGCATTTTAGAGCATGGAAAACCCAAGTACGTAGTGAAAGAGCACTTGCAAACATTGAAAGTGGTGCTGAGGCAAGACTGACACTTCTGCTTTTGCAGTAATGTTGCTTTTTTCCAACAACCAGAAGAATAGTTTTCTTCCTCCTCTTCCAGTGATGCACTGCACCCATTTCACTTAATAATCACTGCAAGCATCGCTTATATAGAACACATTCAGCGTAACTCCTGCTAACATCAGTAACTGCACTGTGAGGCCGAGAACTGACAGAAATCCAGAGTGTTTGTGACCATAATTATAACTGCTACATAGAAATATAACTAACAAAAGAGGAAGGCAGCATGTGATAGTTTCACTCGTGCTTTCAGAGCCACAGGCCAACCAACCGTCTCCTTTTGCTTCGAACGTGCGCAGAACAATGCAGTGAGACACGATTGTTACTGCCAGCTGATAATTAATGAGAAAGGCTGAGAGCTTTTGACTTAGAGGAACAACTAAGCAAACAGCATTAGCTTTTTGGTTGTTCTTACCAGGTCCCTATGAAAACCTGAAATGCATTGTGATGTCTAGTTTGAAACCTGAAATGCAACGCTATGGTGTACCAACTGAACCAAACCAGGATATGTTAGCCTCCTAACAGCGGGATAAACACCTCATTAGAAAAGCTTCAAACCTCTCAGTGGGATTTTTCACTAACAGAGTAAAATTTTGACATGATGCAGATCCCTGTAAAAAATACTACATGCTGAGCATGCAATTAACTAAGAATCAATGATCAATGCTATTATCATCATTCTCCTTTAAAAAAAGGGCAGCAGAACATAAGCCAGCTTCAAAAGAGTCTGGCCACATGTGTAAGATGCAGACAGGTACTGAAACAAAAATTTGACACTTTTGCTGGCTTCAGCTGTATCCTCTCTCCAGAACCTCTCTGGTTGGAAAAATAACTATACCTTATAGGTGATTTTGAGAACTCAGTTCTGCACATTTCAAGCTCAGCTATAACTGTAACCGGTCACATTCACTGGTATTTGTGCAAATACAGTTAGAATTTGTTTGTTGGGTTTTTTCATTCATCTCAAAACCCATGTTCATTATCAAGATTTTTACTCAAATTAATTAGTTCTCTTACATGCAAAATATTCTAAGGCTAAGCTCACAGGTGTTGCGGGCTTTCACAAGAAGCCCACCTGCCGTAAGAGTTTGCTGCTGCAAGCTGTTCCCCATACTACATGCTTGACACTTTGTTAGCTTGGAATGAACAATGGGGAAAACCTCAAGACTCAGAACGAGCCCATGCCCCTTTTACTTATTTTGTACATTATTTTGTAAACCAAGTATTGCTTGTGAGTCTGACTTTGCTTGCATAAATGCGTGTGTTGAAAGAGCATGTGACAGAGTTAATGATATTCTAACAAGCTTAAGGGAAAGTCATCCAACACTTAATAATTAAAATAGGAATAGAAGCTTTAAAACTTGAAGTCTCCTCATGAAACACCTCTGCTACTACACAGGCAACTTAGGTTGGTATTATCTCCCTCAGTACCGTGCTAGCTAGCATTAGATGATACACTTTACCCTCTAACCACCAGCCAGACACATGTAAACCTTTTAATCCTTCGTAACGACTTGCCTCTCCTAAATTAAAAACAAGCAGAATGTTGGGGGGTTTTTCACCTGTTTTCCGTCAATTTCTGTCACTTCTTCCTGAATGACAATCAGCTTCAAATCAGAACTGGATGCCAGAGGCCACTCGTGAACCATGATGCGAACACTGACGGTTCCCAGGCGCTGCTGATCTGGTAAGTTATCCAAGTTTCCGTTCTCCACTGTTAACATACAATGTCACAGTTTTCAGAGAGAAACCACCCCAACCAGAAAGCAGTATACAACTGTGGGGCAAACAGTTGCAGCTCTGACACAGATGCCTTTGCACACGTAGCATCTGAATGGAAAAGTCATTGCAACTGCAGAGGACCGCGAGCATCAAACCAGAGATGCCTGAACAGTTGTACGGAAGTCTGTAGTATGCTGATGTCCTTAACACTTCCAGGAACTGCTGTTATAAGCAGTAGCAATCTGGGCAACAGGTAAAACAGACGCCACAATTTTTTACCAGTATATCACCAATTCAAACTCGGAGCAGCCTCATGATATAACAGCAGACAACAGCAGCACTGTACGATCCCCAGATCGAGGGAGCCTGCAAACAATGTTGCGTCCCTGTCTTTGAGGTTTGTATTTAAGCACTCCAAGCAGCACTCTTTGGCTTCACTATTGCTGCATTCTTATTTTAGTGAAGCTAAAGGAGTTCATGAGAGTAATGCCACAGCCCAGCCAGCCACCTGTGTAAACATCTTTATTTGCACAACATTCCCCTTCCTCTCAATAGAGAAACAAATATGCTTTTTTTCCCACACACACTGCATACACTACTCAAGATGAGTGTCAGTTCCCTCATATGTTTTCTCTCTGCCGTGTCCTGTTTTCATATGCGACTGTGACACCTCAAACTCTCTTCCTACCCAAAGGCTTTCAGCTATTTCAACAACCTGATATTCCACAAGTACACAGAGAACTGCCTTTCTACCCTTGTTGGTTTTGTACGGAGTTAGTACCCTTTCCCCAGCCACCATGCCTCTACTACCGGTGAGGGCACGCTAGAACTGAGGCGCTGCCGAAGTGCAAGAGTGGAGGTGACAGGTCGGTCCAGCGTGCAGACGACAGCACGGTACGTGAACTGAGACTGGACTGGCCCCCCTTGCTAAGCCACGAGCGCAGTGCTGAGCCGAAGAGGCAACCTGGGTGCATGTCGGGCTAGTGTCTGTCAGTTACACAGTAACAACTCAGTGTGTTCATTACTTTTATCAATGACCCCTTTCCTCATAAAGCTATTTTGCTTGTTTTAAATATAGAAAAATACTTTTTCGCATTGTTTAGCAATATTTTCCACTGCAAAAATAAGTGGCAGAAGGAGAGAAAGAGGTTAGAGAAAAAGAGAAAGGTTCCCTGTAGGTGTGAGCCAGAGCACTAACCTGGCTGCTGAATGTCTTCTGACGTATAGCAGCAAGCATACATTAAAGGACCAAAGCCTGAAAAGATGCCAAGTAGCTGAAGCTCCCTGTGGTCCCAACTTTTCATGTGCCAGGCTACTCAATCCCCACTACATTCAACAGGAGTGAAGGACACACTCATGCTTCCAAAACTGACATTTGTGGGAACTTCCAGTGGGGATATAGGTGCCAGGCGTCATCTGACAACAGTGTCAAGACAATACCATTCAGGAGACTTGGTCTCTAACATTCAAAAGCGTGAATATTCGGCTCAAGTCTGGTTTTTACATACATTCAGGAGTACTGTTCCCCTCTGTTAACAGGTAACAAGTATCTCGAAATTCCTTTAGCATTTTACAAACGTTATCTGAATGTATCATCGAGGATTTAGTAAGTAAATAGCATAAACATTACTTTACAGATAAGAGAGAGAGGTACTGTGCTGAGGACTCAGACCCAGACATGGAGACAGAGAGTTCCAGGTTCCCAGCTCCCACGCCAAATCAGTATTTTTCTCACTGTTTCAGATTCACATTCATAACTGTAGTCACTGCAAGCTATACAACTATCATTTGGAAAATTAATAGGAACTACAGTAGAGTGCTCAGTATGTCTCAGAATTAGTCAATAAAATCCTATCTGTTTTTCTGGAGCCAATTATCTTGCAGGTAAATGACACTTTGCCATGTTTTTCTGCCCTGGGATAGAAAAAATAGAAGCAATAGCAACATAACTGTCCTAGAAAGAGAGAAATGAATTATTGCTCTCCTTCTCCAGAAAAGAAATTGTGTCAAATTAATAATTGATTATGCTTGGGAAGGAAGGGTTCAAGAAACAAGGTCATGGCTCAGAGAAGCCATTTAGAAAAAGCATTAGTACTTTCTAAGTAAATGTCTGGTTGTAAGGAGACGATGAGCTCAGAAACCAAGCTAGAGACTGACTGCACCTGATCCATCAAGAGATCATTCCAAATACAACAGAAGCTTAAATCAAATGAGCGTAGTGGCCCTTGCTTAATTAATTATACAGTATGTTCTGTGTATCTCAAAAAAATCACAGTACTTTCTGGTCTTTCACAAAAGGTGTAGCATTGAATCAGTGATAAAAACCAGCAGTTTCAAGATAATTCGAAGTCATTAACCACTGCAGGACACCAGCAAAACTGGAGTATTTGTGCTATAATATCCTATCTAGCAGAAACTTGTTTATCCAATACACACAGAAATGAGATAATTAAAAGATCTTCCTAACAATAATTCATACTTTTGTTATTGAATCTCTTTTTGGATATATGCCAGCCAGCCTAGGGACACAGCCATTAGCAGGGTGGAGTTGCATCCTTCTGTTTACATTGTCTAGCTTGTAGTGCAAAACATTCTTTTGAAAAGATAGGCAGAGTCTGGATTTCAGATTAGACCATTTACAAATAAGCATGTGAATGTGACTTGAGAACAAGGCAGTAAGATTTTTTTTTCCCCACCCATTTTAGTAGCAAAATTATCCTATCTTGGGAAATTATTTGCTTCTACAAATCGGTGCTCAGGTTCGCAGAGTATGAGAACATGTAGTCATTGTAAGCTTTGGTTACTAGATAACAGAGAAGCCAAATGCCCTGGGGGAGGAAAAGAAGGAAAAAAAAAAAAAAAAAAAAAGAGAAGAGAGAATACTCACATATTACTGTTTGACATGTTATATGGGCAACCCCGCTCTTCATAGGAAAATCATTTAGATATACCTGTCCATTAACATAAGTGATATTAAAAACAACCTGAAAGAAAGACAGACAGAATGAGTGTATAGTTCCAGGCCCTATGCTACAATTCTGTTCTCAGAGGAACACACTTCATACTGACTGACGTCAGACAAAACAATGTATTTGCATCCACATGCACACTTTGTTTCACTGCATTTTAATTCACTGAATAAACAGAAAAACCAGACAAACCTGTCCTTTGTGAAATTCTCCATTGGTTTTCAACATCGTAACACCGACTCTGATTGTTTCCTGGAAAACAACAGTGAGAAGAGATGTACGTTTCTGAGGAAACACATAAGCCGCTGCAGGCCACAGGCAGCTTTCACACATTGTCCTGACAGAATGACAACCTACAATCCCCAGAGCACATTCCCAGGCTTTCTATCCAGCAGACAGAAGAAAGAGGAATGTACTTACTTTTTTCATGTAAGGGTTGGGGTTTTTTTTCCTCTCTTTTTAATAAAGAGGATTGATGAGAAAGAATGACAGCTGCATCCCCTTACGTATAAAGGTTTTTTTTTAAATAAAGATAAAATAATAATAATCAACCAAAATTCTCAGGAGAACTTGTTTCACATGGATAGAATGGAACAGTAGTCTCTCATGTTAGCAGAAAAATAATAGACAGTACAAGGTAAAAATCAGATTCTCTGTAAGTGTTTTTTACGCGCTCCACTTAGTCTTCAAGGTGAAGTATAATTTAACGTATGTTAACCTATACTAAAGAACACTCAAGTTTTTTCAGTGTCAGCAGTAACGCTGCTTCTTTTCTTTGGTGATCGTTCTCAAATTATGCCACACGGGACACCTCCAAACTCACAGCTAATGGGGATTTGCTTCCTTCTTTCAAACCCTAATTGCTGCAATTTATCAACTCGCTCTTTCTGTCCTCTCATTTCACCCTTGTAATTTCAGGGGCTCTTTTGCAGATGGGACCTTACATCTCCCAGCCCTGCTCCTGACAAAACCTACGTACAAAAGCCAAACCTCTCTTGGACATAGCCAAAAGTAATAATTGCCACACTGCTTTCCCGAGTCACCTCTTCAAAAATAATGTTAAGCTCCTTATTTGCCTTTTGGAAGCCTTAAATGATTCTAATTGCATTTCATTTTTCTCGGGAAAACTTCTCCGTGTCTTCAGCATCTTTCTTAGCTCTGTGTTTGAGTCACGGTTTCACAACTAACAGCTAAAAAGTCAGTCATGTCTCAACAGAAAGTCAAACTTGCTCAGAATTTAAAATAAATTTTAAAAGATTTAAATACATAAAAAGGCTTTTTGTTTGGGATTTTTATAAAACACTAAATTTTCAGGCAGGAAACACTTGAAATATACAGTACCTAGAGCAATATAGTCACAATTCACGAACAGAGAGCTTCTGAAGTGCGACTATAATGTAAAAAAATTCCTTAAAACAACAGGTGTTAATCAGTATACGCAGGTAGCCAGGCTTACCAAAAAAACTGAAAAACAACACCCAAATCTGGTTCAGC